TAATAATAAACAAATTTGATGAGTCTTTATAGCGGTGATTTGAATGATTCGGTTTTTACTGAACAGATGGAATGGTTCAAAATGTTGCGGATACTCCCAGTTCGTCAGTAGTGGTTGACCTAGACCATGATGAGTTAAGAGCTAACTGAAAATATTAAAATTATTTTTATTTACAACAAATTAATCGTGATAATTATTAAGATGTCAGGTTTGTGTACACCTATAGTCCATTGATCCGCCTTTATTCTTTAGGACTTTTTCGAGTCTCTTCGGCTTCGAATCCATCAAGCTAGTTATGAAGTCATTTTCCATTTTGCGCTCCTTTAAGTATTTTGTACTTTTGCCTCCAATTTCCAATGTACAGGTAACACATTGACCTCTCTCTCTCTTCCAAAACAGAAAACTGATTCTCAGTCACATGGAGATCCGGGCTATTAGGGGAAGTTATATGAACTGAACTTTAGAATCACGCATCTTTTCTGAAGTCTAAAAGCAAATAATAACTGAACCAGACTCCTTAACTAAATAAGTTTACTTACTACTCTCGTGAAACGTGACACGGAGCGTAATCTGAAAAACGATAACTTTTCCAGACGATTGTTTTTCATGAAATTCTGGAAACATTTTCGCCAAAACTGATACAAATTTTCCACTATTTTAGTGAGTTAGCTAACAAACATAGATCATTATCATTATGAAACCTTATTTAATGCAATTTCTCCGGGTTGTGAAAGAATTTCATTTGTTTGTCAATAGAGTCACTATAATGGATTATATATAGGATAAAATAATGCCTCATAACAAATAATCCAAATGGCAAGGATTTATGGAAATAATTTGGGATAATTCGTGAGTCACTCCTATTAGAGTATGTTGCGTTTTCGTACTTGATAAACTTTGCGATTTTCATGTCGAGATTATTTAATCTTGGTAACAAAGGTTAGGCAATTTTAATTGCTGATCATGCAGCCCAGAAACTACGTAGATCGAAGTACACAACAAATAAATTATTGCCCATACCTAAAGCAATAATATGGATGATAAGTTTAATGAAACTCAATTTGATCATGAAGAAGATATTTTAGTGCCTCACAATTGGCCATTGCTGTAATACAACTAAATGGCGAGCGTTTGCGGCTCATTCAATCTACACTCACAGACACACACACACACAGAACAAGCATTTCCTTCTCCAAATTACGGAAACCATCGAATCAAGTAAACTAATGCGATTTGTGCCACATGAACTTACTTTATGTCTACCCAATCCGGAATGTTTTGATATGGAATGCAAATTCTCCATACTAGCCGCTTCCTGATTTTTGAGCGACAATTTGGAACCGCTATCCACGGACCCTCGTGGTCCGACGGGGATGGCATCACTGGACTGGGACAGATTGGATCCGGAATCTCGTGAGCGACCATTTTTCCGTGTCTCGTTTCGATAGTGTCGTGAATGTTGGGAAATACTCGGTGGACGTCGTTTCGCGTACACAGACTGATCATCTACTGTGTTGCCACTATTATTGTGATTATTAGCGCTGTCACGATTTTGTGAAACCCGCGGCTGCGGCCAAACACCTGGTTCCGATTCGGGACGAGGTGAACGGGGAATGTTTATTATGTTCAGACCGGAGGAGAACAGACCGGAGCGAGCTAACGTTTGACGTGCATGCCCTGATCGTATCAGGCTGGTGGGTTGATATTGAGACGCGTCCGAGTGAACTCGACCGCCCGCGGTACGTAGTCCGGAACTGATCCGATTGTGTG